AAAAAACCGAACCGGGAGCACTGGGTTTTTCCCAACACAACCGTGCCTCTCACAGAACCAAAACGTGTCTCTCGCGGAAGGAAAAAAAAAGAAAAAACGTGTTTTTTCCATTTCCGAGGAGGCACGGCCGTGCCTCTGGTGAAAGCACAACCATGCCTTTCGCGGAAGCAAAACCGTGCCTCTCGTGAAAGAAAAAAATTAAATATATAACACGTTTTTTTGGTTTCTGAGAGGCACGGCCGTGCCTCTCGTGAAAGCACAACCGTGCCTCTCGCGGAAGCGAAACCGTGCTTTTCGCGGAAGGAAAAAACAGAAAACACTTTTTTTTTCGTTTCCGAGAGGCACGGCCGTTCCTCTCGTGAAAACACAATCGTGCCTCTCTCGAAAGCAAAATCGTGCCTCTTGCGGAAGAAAAAAGAACAGATAACACGTTTTTCCCGTTTCCGAGAGTCATGGTCGTGACTCTTGCAAAAGCAAAACCGTGTCTCTCGCGAAATAAAAAACGCACTTTTTCGCTCAAATTTTTTTTTATTTTTTTTCAAAAGTTAAGAAAGACCGGTAGAAAACCGAAACGTCGAAAAAACAGGAAAACCCCATTTAAAAGCAGAAAACACGTGCAAAAAAAATGAGAAAAACAAAATTCGGAGGGAGCACCCAGAGCGCAACACGTGGCGGGCGGCTGAGAGCGCGCCAAGTGATGCTGATCGTTGTGAGCCTCCCGAAGAAGCACTCGTTAACTAGTTGGGTATGCATGCAGCACCCCATGACTCAACAATCTGCATCCCTAGCTGCACAAGACAATTGGGTATGCATGCAGCACCATATGACTCAACAGTCTGCGGCCCTAGCTGCTCAAGACAATTGGGTATGCATGCAGCACCGCATGACTCAACAGTCTGCAGCCCTAGCTGCACTGTTGCACCAACTCATCCGAGGTCACCCACCCGACGTCAAGCCAAGGCATGGCAAAATATATATTTCTATGTTTTTTTTAATTTGAACTTAAGTTTAAAATGTGCGGCCAAAACTTTTATGTGGACAGTTTTGAGTTTTTTCATAATGTTTAATTAAGTTTATGCGCGGCCAGGTTTTTTCCAAACAAGTTTAGATGCGGCGGGCGGTTGGGTTGCACCAGTAAGGGGACATCCAAAACCGGCGGCCGTCCGTTTTCCGACCAAACCATTTGGGGTCTAGTGTTGGAGTTGGCCTTAGTTAGAGAAGATGAGAAAATTGATGTGCAACAAGGAGGTGGGTTGCACGGTTCTTTCAGACAGTCAAATGAAAGGGTTCATTGGTTTGAGCAGGGTCAGAAACTGGATATTCACTGATAAGGTTGAGATGTGCATTCGATTCCAGTCCCCTCATAATATAAAATCACACCAAACTTCCTGCAGCTAGGCAGTTCAACGACAGTATACACAACAAGTCCAAAGCAGATGACATGGAATACATGCTAACGGTACAGGGACGACATCATAGATGATGGTGCACAAAAGTTCAACTTCTCAAAGAGGACTGGAAATGAAAACCGGCAGTTCTGACAATGCCCCCAGCATATATTGCTATGCTGTCTTCGCCATGTTGTCAGGTCCCTGAGTGGAGACATGAATAATGATGAGATTAATGGCCAAAGAATATTAACTAAACCATAAAGAACGGCTATGCCTTTGCTGGTTAGTTCAAGTTCTGGAAATAGTGCAACAACATCAAAAGAGCTACTCCCTCCGTTCCGATTTACTCGTCGTGGTTTTAGTTCAAATTTAAACTAAAACCACGACGAGTAAATCGGAACGGAGGGAGTATGAAGGAAACAAACAGCTCATCAATTGGATTTTTCGTCTTTTGGCAATTAGGCATGTACTCCCTCCGTTCCGAAATATAGGTCTTTGTAGATATTCTAATGTGGACTACATACAGAGCAAAATGAGTGAATATACATTCTAAAATGCATCTACATACATCCATATGTGGTCCATAGTGAAATCTCTATAAAGACTTATATTTAGGAAAGGAGGGAGTACATGATAGAAAAAAAACTGAGCATAATCCTAAAAGGAGCAACGGTAGGGTGGCAGAAATTATGAAATAACACATGCTGGGAGCATATACTTTCATTTCTAATAATGCATCCTTCTTCGCTATACTTCAAATGAGAAGTACCAAGAGTTCAAAAGCATTGGTAGTCATCTATCATAAATGACACGAGTGCTTAAATCATCATGAACAACAGCAGCAAAGCCTTTCAGTCAGTCCCAAAACAAGTTGGGCTGCAGTGTTGACATATCCAAAAGTCCCAACCAGGAGAGTACAGAGAGAACGCGTGAACATGCCCGCGACGGGCGACCCCGCGGTGCCGACGCCGGGCTGATCTCCTTCCTCCGGCCTCCCCTGCCTCCGGCGGCCCCGGATCCGGAAGCTCCGCCCCGTCCGCTCGCCGCCCATCCGAGCTTTGCTCCTCGCCGTGCTCGGGTAGCCCGTGAGGAAGCTGTAGGATCCCGCGTCCGCGACGGGCCCCATGTCCGCGGCGGCTGCGCCGTCATCGTCGGCCGCTCCAGCCCAGCCGCTCACCGCCCCTGCTCTGGCCGCCGCACTCGCCGCGGCCTTCCTCGCCGGCCGCAAGGCTGGACCGGCCGTGCAGGGGCGCCTCGTCTCCGCGCCGACCAGCCAACCTCCGCCGCCTGCCGAGAGGATGAGCTCTCGCGACCCTGACCCCGCGCCCCTTCTCCAGCCCCCGCTGGCGGCGGCCACCTCGGTCCCACCGGCCACCCTGCCAGCGCCTCCGACCCCTCGCCCGCGGCCACTGCCTCTAGTCTGTCGGCTCCGGGTGGAGAACGGCGCGCTCTCCCCGAAGGCTGCAGCGGCTTCCACTCCGGCTGCACTGATGAGCTCTCTGGCTCAGCCGCCCGCCGCCCCCGCCAGCCTTGCCGGCGCCGCCTTCGACCGGCTGCTGAAGCCACCGGCGACGAGCCCCATCGGCACCCCACCGCTCGATCCGGATCAGGCGGATCTGGGTCCCGTCTCTCGGCCGGCTCCGGCTGTGCTCAGCTCGAGGCATGTCCCCCGTTGCTCCTTCATCGACGGCGAGGGGGGAGTGGTGGCTTCTCTGGACGCAGTACCTACCGCTTCAGCTCCGCAAGCCGTTGTTGCAAGCGACGGGCTCGTCGTGCCTCCGGTGCGCCCGAGCCGTGGAGACTGGCGAGGATGTTTCGACCGGGTGGTGGCGTCGACAGTTCCTGTGGCTCCATGCGAGAATGCGTTGGGGGGCTGGCAGCTCATCTCGAGAGAGCGCCGCTCGGCTCCTGCTGCTTTCCATTGCCCTGTTGTTAATGTGCGACGTCCCCCTCCGGCGTGGCTGAGAGACAGGTGTTTCCGATGCTTGTGTCGAGGTCATCGGGCATACTCCTGTAGGGATCCAATTCGATGCACGGATTGTCTTCGATCCGGCCACATCGCCCGCTTCTGCCGTGCTAAGAAGCATGTTCTCCAAGCTTCGTCGCTCCAATGTCCTACTCCATCACCTGCATCCACCAGTGACATCTCCAAGACAAATGTGCAGTTCCAGTCTATCTCGACTGAGCAAGTCGGGTTGGTGGAGGAGACAGAGCTGCTTCGCATTGAGCTTTATGACTGCCTTGCGCGAGTGGGGAGTGTTTTGGGGAGGGCGAAGGCCGCTCTCGCCAAACTAGAGGTGGTGCCGGATGTGTCTTTGCTGCCTGAGCATCAGATTGGGCTTGTGCCAGATGTGTCCCTACTACCTGAGATCCAAGTTAGTTTTGCCGATGGGGAAGCATGCATGTATGGAGATCTCTCCCCTCGTGCTACATCCTGTCGGTTGCCGTTGCCTGTCGTGCCAATTGCTTCTTGGGGTGAAGCTGTTGTCAAGGTCGTGGCTCCGATGCTGCAGATTATGCCTGAGCTGCAGAAGATTTGTGGGGAGCCTACTTCGCCTATTCGATGGTGCTTCCTAAGGAGATGGGGTCGCTTGTAGGGTGCTTAGTGTTGCCAACTGCGACCTCACCATCGTCGATGGAGCCCATTCAGCCGCTCGACTTTATGGACAGTGGAGGTTTGGATGCTGCTATTGCTCTCTCACCTGAGGTTATTGGCCAGGTGGCGTCTGTGGGTGCCGAGGATGATGAGGTCGGTCCTTTGGCACCTAATCCTGAGGAGCTGAAACCCATCCGGTCGCCCATCTTTGACTGTGATGCTATGTTGGCACGTATTGACGAGGTGGTCTTTGTGAAAAAGCTTGGCCGCTTGCTCGCCTCCTTGGATGCAACTTGTCCTGGGTCTGGCAAGGCGGTTGCTTGCCTCCTAGTGGAAGAGGGTTCTACGGGCAAAGTAAAGAAGGTGAAGAAGGCTCTCAGGGCCATAGGCAAGAAGAGTGGCGCCATTGGTAAAGCGTCAGCGGCTGTTTGATGGAAGATATTCAGTCCCGCCATCCTCCATCTCCGTCTGGCATCTTCGTGGATTTGGTGACGTCCGATGTATTCAACCTTGGTTCCGTTGGGAGTCTCTTTGAGACATCGAAGTGTGAGGGTCTGTTTTGTTACATGTTATGCCTGTTTGTCGGGTTGACCGTGGGGTCATGGAGTTTGTTCTTTAGTGAGTAGTCTGCATGTGGTCTATATGTATTGGTTTTCGCCCGGTTTTCCGTTAATTAACTGGGCAATTCTCTTCTTCTTAATTAATCGATGAGGCAAAGCTTTTGCCTCCGTTTCGAAAAAAAAACAAGTTGGGGAAATTTGGAAACTATTGCCCTTACACTTGATAATATGTCAATACCATGCTAATCCACAACGTGATAGGAAAGAACAAATGCAAAAATTTAGATCCAGGCACTAGGTTGATCAACTAAATATTCATTGACCATGCAGAAAACATGCAACTGTGCAGATTGTAAGAATATACTACATATAAATCACTGAGGATACTACCGAGAATTGAGATTAAACATTACCTAAATCAAATCAAATTTATCTATATACCTAAGGGGACACTCAAACCAACTGACGCCTAGCAGGTACAACGTATTTCACCCTTCCCTTGCCATCCTCTCTCTTGGCCAAACTAGCATCCTCTCTTTTGGTCGAACAACCAACAGGCATTCTTGTACCATTCAATTTTGCTAGAATAGGAGGATTGTCAGGGCACTGAAGGAGAAAAATAACACTTCAGTAACATTACTAACCATAACAAATGCAAACTGCACAAGATATAACATTATACCTCGTACATACTTCTTACTGTAGCCTCCTCATACGCGAGCCTATCCTCCTCATCCTGGATGTATGCAGGTACATCCGGGCCAGGGGTATCCCGCCGTGGATCAAAACCAGAACATGGTGAGTACCGATAAGAGTGGCCACCTTTGTATTTATCAACATCAACAGGATGCTTCAAATCAACATTTCCGTATCTCATGCAACCATAGCATTGGCCTTAGGCAACAAAAAAAAAAGTGTAGGCAGTCACTACATATGGCTGAGCATGAAACTAGCTTAGATATTTATAAACTGTAGGAAAGCTCGAGAACAGTGGATGAGATGAAGGGAAATATGACACAAGGGGCAACCAAACTGTATGAACAGAGCATAATCTGAAGTGGAAGAAAATACCATTGTCATTAGGTTCAACCATGCAGAAACAACTGAGCACATATTGTACATCTTCGCCTTTTATTCGTGTGACTTCAGCAAAGAACACATTATCGACGCCACTCTGAAAACCATCATCTCCTTTCGTTTTTGTAGTCAAATTGATATGATAGAACATGTTGACAAGGCGGCCCTCCCTCTCATAAATTTCTCGGAAGCTCACAACATCATCAAGTTCATATGCAAGATCCTGAAAAGAGGGCATGGATTGAATCAGCAATTAGTACATGAATATGAGACAGTTAAGACAACCCTGGTAGCATGACAGAGATTGAGAGCAGGGAGGAGGGAGAGAGAGCAAACCCCAAAAAGAAGGTGATCTTCATTGTACTTGTCCAGTAAAGCTTGAGCCAATAGGCTGACAGTCTCAAGCTTTGGATTGCTTTTGGAGGACATCTTTCTTGTGCCATCAGGCCAGTAAAGGGATGCCGTATCGCAATCTCCGCCTGCGGAAGCCCATTTGTGTGCCTATTTCAGGTCAGAGCATTCTGTATGTTAGTAGGTTGTAAATTCTGTTATGATGGAAACCCAAAATCCATGACAAAGTTGAGAAAACTCACATTATTGGAGCACGCAGGTGATCAAGATGGCGATCGATAGCATCCTCAGCTTCCTGCAAGCTCTGGAATGGCCCACCCAGGCGAGGATACGTGTGGAAAGAACCCCCATGATCTAGTCTGATGAAAAACTGTATAGGCCAACCTTCAAAAAAACAAGCCAAAATATGCTGAGACGATTGCGTTGGAATTGGCACGATGTCATGAGTTGCCGCCTCTGGCTGTGTGGAGTAAGAGGAAGTGTTGGTGTTCTTTGGCTCCAGCAGCGGTGTTTTCACTGGCCTAGACACATCATGAGAAGGGTACTCACACCTGAAGTGGAAAATGGTCAGACGGTTAGTAGACAACCAACTTTTAATCTGAAATAATTTAACAAGATGCACATACCAGGGAGGCAGTGATGGATTGCGGGAAGACCAGATTTCCTCCAGCAAATGGGACGTTTCAGGGTCAGGAAAAGGCATTTTTACAAATGCTGCATGCTCACATCTGAAGTGGAACACATGCTCAATGAGTTGAAGAATAACTTAATCTATCACGGGAGATGCATAATACATGAAGTTGAATCGACAATAGAGCACCGAGAGAAAGAAAAAAAAAGAATCGTTTTCTCTTCAGTATTTATCTATATACTGCTACCTCCCAGTATTCCTAGCATGTATAAATCCCGCGTAGGGCCATGTTACTCGAGAGACAGTCAAGGCGCGATAAAGTTCATACTGTGGAGGTTGCGGCTGATCGTAGGGCCTGGTCTGGATGTCGGAGCGGGTGACTTCCATGCGTACATCTGCTACGCGTTGAGATATCTCATCGACGTCCGTCAAGAGTTCTCCATCCCCGTCAGGGTAGACACCGGTACCGGAAGACGGGATGTCGGAGAGGGCAGATTTCCTATATACATCTGCTACGCGTCGAGGTATCCCATCAACATCGGTGAAGAGTTCGCCGGCCCCGTCGACATAGGCACGGATTTCTCGGCCGTCGGGAAGACTTATCCTAAAAGTGGGGCGAGGTCTGCCTGGAGGGTAGGGGATGGGTTTGGGTTGTGGAGGCTGCAGCTGACGGTGGAGGGGAGCGGAGGGGGTTGGATTGTGGAGGCCGCATCTGATGGTTGAGTGGAGGGGATTGGAGGGGATTGGGTTGTGGTGGCCGCATCTGATGGTCGAGCGGGTCGTGGTCGAGCGGGTCGTGGATGCCGCCCCTTGTGGCGAGCTCGACGGGCGAGATCCTCACGGCGACGCTCGTTCTCCTGACGAGCTGCGGCCATCATACGGTGCAAGGTGTCGATCCAGATTTCTTGGAAAAGTCGTGGTGGCCGGCCCTCGGATCCGCCGGTGACAAGATTCCCATCATCGTCAGTGTAGACATCGATTGTTTCGTCATTGGGAAGAACTACGGAATGGTAATGGTCGCCGGGGCGGCGAATGGGCAGCATGGGGGGCGGCCGGGAGGGACTAGGGTTTGGAGATTTGCTGTGGGGAAAGAAGAAGATGGGCGAGGGGAAAAAGAAAGAAAGCTTTCCTGGCGAGACGAGAGGAGAGAAGGTTTTTCGTTTTATGTGATTAAGTTTTTTTTAGGGGTTTTTATGTTTTTTTTGGAGTAACTTTGAGGGGGGTTTATGTGATTAAGTGCAAGGGGAAAGAAGCGCTATCCACTGGGCTTGGCAGCCCATCATAAGTCCAGTCCAAGTAAAGAACACCACTCCCCTAAAAAACTAAATGATAAATATTATATGTGTGCACGAAGCACTTCCGGCTCTGACATAAAAAAAAGTCCTCGCCAGTCCCAAGAGCACGACGTGGCCGTCGTCACGGAGGAGGGAGCTGGCGAGCTGCAGAAAGAGGCCGAGCGCATCGGCGAACGCTGCGTGGAGGACGTCGAGCGGGTCGAGGGAGACCGGGTGGGCACGGAAGAAGCGGACGGTGTGAAAGGAGATGTCGAGCACGTTGCAGTCGGCGTCGAGGCCGGAGAGCGACAGAGACGACGCACGAGGCTGCAGCGTCGGGGGAAGCCTGGCGCTGTCCAGGACTCGCAGGTGCAGCTACGGCGGTGGCGGGGGCGGAGGCGCCAGTGTCTCCATACGAAGGACTGTGCGTGCGGGTGGCACCCAGCGGGAAGGATAGCCCGCGCTGTCACGACAGCAGGTGATGGGAGGGAAGGACGGAAAGAGCTCGCTCGTGGCAAATTTGCAAAACCCCCTCGAGTCTATGTAGCCAAATTTGTATTAGAGATCGTAGGTGAACCCTCTTGACAAGTTTAAGGACCGTATTTCAGATATATAAGCTACAGGGACGAAAGTAGGTTCCAACTCAACTTCAGGGACTATGGGTGAATTTTTTCTTTTTTTATGTGATGAATTTTTTAGCGGTTTTTTATGTGATAAATTTTTTCTGAGAGGTAAATCAATTTTTTATTCAGCAAATACCTCAGATTGTGGGATACAAGTCTGATCATGGGATCAGCCAAACCAGATGTGACCAAACCTAAAGAAAGAAAAAACTTGGCTAAACTACGTCCAGCCGACCCCAGTCGACGACGAAGAATAGATAGGGTAGTATAGGATATATTTTTTGCATGCTTTGTATGGATTTAGGTGTTGAAATATGAGAAACTCAGATGCAGACCGCCTAATTTGAGACGTGGCCGGTCAGTGTCCGCGGACGCATCCGGACGTGTTTGAGGAGCCGGATTTGCAAAGTCCAACCAAGGCATGTTTAGTTTTTTGTCCAAAACATAGTTTCGAAGAAAAATTTGATCGTCTCTAGATAAAGAAATTCATGAGATCGAGAGAGACGTACCGGGTAGGCGACGACATGTTGGCGTTCACCGCGACGTTCAAGATCGATCACCGGCGGTCACGCACACAGATTAATTTAACCTGAGGCTAAATGTGTTTGCTCCGTGGCCGTGCCAAGGTATCACATCCGTTATAACTTGTAGAAAAAGAACAGTACATCCATGACTCTGACTTGAACTCGGAAACGTTCTGTCACACGAATAGAACTAGGAAACGATACGAAACGGTCAACTCGCACCCTGCGCTTTATAACTCGCTCGCAGAAGAAGAGCAGTTCGTTCATCCGACTCCGACTTGAACTTGGAAACCATCTGCCACACGTATAGAACTTGGGAACGATACGATTGTTTTTTTTCCTTTTTTTAGAACAACGATACGCAAATCAGGCGGTCGACTCGCATCGTGCGCCTTATCGCCCCAGCGACCTCTTTTCTTTTCTGGTCCTGCTTGTCCGTCTCGGGGTGGAACCGAGAGCAACTCTAGCAGACCCCGCAAAAAGCTCCGACCCGTAAAATAACCGTTAAAATGCGGGTCGGTGTGAAAAATCCCGCCCGAACAGACCCCGCAAACGCGGCAGGCCCGTAAATTTTTTTGAGGGGCGCGACAAAATCTCGGCCCCAAACCGTGAATACGTGGGTTTCCGCCTCACCCCTACGGTGCCCGTATCGCAGTGAAGCGGTTGGCGGGAGGGACATTTCAGCCCGCACCCTTTCCCCACCTCCTTTCGCCGCTGCCCGCCATTGGTTCCGCCCATCCGGCGCCAGCAATTCCGGCCAAATCTACGGGCGGAATCGCGTCGCAGGGGCGTCCCCCACCCTCCACCACCGTTACGCTGTACCGCCCCCTCGGATCCAGCGAGAAGTTTCGCTCCTCGTCGTTGCCGCCGCCGGGGATTGACCGCCCTGGAGCCACCCCTCGTCGCCGCTCGGGATCACCCGCCCCACGAGCCGCTGGTTGGTGTTTGCTTGTGCTTTGTGCCGAGCGCTATGCATAGTTGGTTGACGCGGCATGTGATTCTTGTTCATGTAGATGGAATTGAGCCCGTGCGAGAAGTTTTTGCTCTCCTATTCGTCCCATTTAGACGACTCGGATGTTGAGACGCTTCTTGCAAACTTTCGGCAGCAGACGTTGGTGATGGCTCCTGCCGTGAAGGAGCATGAAGACGAGAACCTAAAGAGGCAGGAGGATCGACCGTCGGGCGTCTTTGCATTCCTAGGAATCGCCATCTTGGGAACAAGATGTTGATGCAAGACTACTTGCGGAGAATCCAACATATCTGCCGCACCTCTTCTGGAGAAGGTACCGAATGCGCCGATCCCTCTTTGTGAAAATTGTTCAAGCTTGCGAGGCAAATTGTCAGTATTTTACTCAAAGAAGAAATGCTGCGGGTTTGAAGGGATTTAGTGCATATCAAAAAAATCTCGGCAGCTATGCGGGTGATTGCATATGGCGTTCCGGCTGACTATGCCGATGAGTACCTTCGCATTGGTGAAGATACCACAATTGAGTCAGTGCATAGATTTGCCAAAGTGATCATCCGTGTCTTTGGTCCTGAATATCTTCAGGCACCCAACGAGGATGACACAAAGAAATTGATGGCATCTAATTGTTGGGGAACGCGGTAATTTCAAAAAAATTCCTACGACCATGCAAGATCTATCTCTAGGTGATGCATAGGAACGAGAGGGGAGAGTGTTGTCTACGTACCCTCGTAGACCAAAAGCGGATGCGTTATGACAACGTGGTTGATGTAGTCGTACGTCTTCACGATTCGACTGATCCTAGCACCGAAGGTACATCACCTCCGCGATCTGCACACGTTCAACTCGGTGACGTCCCATGAACTCTAGATCTAGCTGAGGTCGAGGGAGAGTTTCGCCAGCACGTTGGCGTGGTGACGGTGATGATGAAGTTACCGACGCAGGGCTTCTCCTAAGCACTACGACGATATGACCGAGGTGTGTAACTGTGGAGGGGGGCACCGCACACGGCTAAAACAATTGACAACTTGTGTGTCTAAGGGGTGCCCCCTCCCCCATATA